CAAGCTTTGATTTTTAATTGAAATCTGTATTTTCCTTTCTCTTCCATCACACATTCCTCGAAGGCCAAGCGATTAGTTTAAATTAAAACCCAAATTTCATAAATAAATCTAGTTGTTAGAAAGCATAGAAAAAAGTTACCATCCAAATAGACTGATACGTGCTACTCTTTTGCAACGTATACATCATTAGCTTTGTTTTAGATTTTTAGACTTACTGTGGGAAAAAGGAGAGTGTTCCGTCGGTTAGTTTTGAGTGCTGTGTCATCTGTGGTCGTCTGGAATATAATTTACGCCCGCTGTCAAGAGCAGGTGTATGTTTCAATTTAGTTTGTGATTGTATCAAGGTTACAGAGTAATAAATTATACTTAATTTAAAATCTCGCCGTTATCGCTGGTAAGATGGATACCATTGCCTGATCCGTAGTACAGGGTGATTATAATTAAAGTTTAAGTTTCAAAACGCTATAAAAAAAGAACCACTGATGAAAATGATGTGAAATTTGAAAGGAATGTTATTGAAGAAGGCGGAAAGCGTATGGCAGAAGAAAAAATTTAGTTTCAAAAGTTAGCAACAGATGGCGCTGTAAGCGGCAGTATCCCGACGAGAAAAGAGAAATGATTCGTAAAACAACGGCTAAGGTGGAAGTTACACATTAAAACGCATTGACAAATTAGAATTGTTGAATAATTTTATTTGCATGACTGTGTACATATCACATCGAAAGGGACAAATCGGTTTCAAGAGTTTTGCGGCGACATACCGCATAAGAACCATTCATCAAAGAAGTTCGGAACTGTAGCGAGACTGGCGCAAAACATGTTCAATATGGTGTCCACCGTTGTGTGCAACAAGTTGAAAGCGACAAACAGCATGTTCCACAACGGATCGCAGTGTCTCCGGGGGTGATGTTCAGAATGTGTTGCGAAATGCGTGCCTTTAATTCCGCTAAATTTGCAATTGGAGCATGGAACACAACATCCTTCAGATATCCCCACAGCCAGAAATCACACGGAGTAAGATCAGGCGATCGGGACGGCCAGGCTGTAGGGAAATGACGGCTGATAATTCGAGCATTTCCGAAATGGCGCCTCAGCAGCTGCTTCACGGGATGTGCAATGTGCGGAGGAGCGCCATCTTGCATAATAAAAATGATTTCATCCACACATCCACGCTGTTGCAGAGCTAGCTGGAATCACGTGGTTGCGCAAAAGAGACGCATACCTCTGACCAGTGACGGTTGCGGTAACAGGACCGGAAGCACCCGTCTGCTCGAAAAAAATATGGTTGTAGGATGAATGATGCCGTAAAGCCACACCATACCGTGACCTTTTCAGGATGAAGTGGTACGGGGTGCGTGCGTTGCCAGTGGATTTTCTGTTGCCCATATTCGACAATTCTGGGTATTCACGTATCCTGTACCAGATGGAAATGGGCTTCATCTGTCCACAAAATTTTCCACGGCCATTCATTATCCACTTCCATGCGAGCCAGGAATTCTAACGCAAACGTCTCCCTAGCTGTCAGGTCAGACGGAAGCAAACTCCTGCACATGGCCAATTTTGTACGGATAGCATTGCAGGATGTTTCGTACAATTTTCAGCACCGTGCTCGTAGGCCTGTCCAATGTTCGGGCAATTCCTCGTGCACTGCACTGTTGCACACCACCGGCCGACCCTTCCTGTAATGCTGTGGCCACTTCTTCAACTACCGTCGAATGCACTCGTTTTCTCCCTCTACCAGATTGCACATCAAACGAACCTGTCGTTTCGAATTTTTGCATCATTTTCTTTAGACCTACGACACTCATTGGACCAACGCCTTCTTTTATACCCTTCAGTGTCCTGAATTTTTGCAGAGCTACTCTTGCACAATCATCATTCTTGTAATACAGCTTTACCAGCAGAGCGCGGTCCTGCAGTGAAACACCCATGGCGAACGTCTGAGACGCGAACGAAATGAGGAACAGCCTGGTACCTGGCGGCTTTATAACACTGAAATTTAACTAACATTTTAATTTACGTCTTCTTCCGCTTGCAGCGCCATCTGTTGCTAACTTTTGAAACTAATTTTTTTCTTCTGCCATACGCTTTCCGCTTTCTTCAATAACATTCCTTTCAAATTTGGCATCATTTTCATGAGTGGTTCTTTTTTTATAGCGTTTTGAAACTTAAACTTTAATTATAATCACCCTGTATTTCTAAGAGAAAGTTTGTCTGCAACAAACATCTTGTCGCCTAGCTTAATCCAGCGGGATGTTATTCCAGTTTCAGCTGTTTCTTAATTTTTTAATTAAATTGTAATTTTACCCGAAACCCTAAATAAGCTGAGAATCCCGTATTTTATTTTATTATTTAGTTATTTATCATTATTTTAATACTTTATTTATTATTTCATTAATCGCTTTACATTTTATTCAGTTTTAATTATTAGTTATTTTATTACTTAAATAATTAATTATTTTTAAAATTGTATTTTATTTATTTATTTTTACCCTTTTTCTGACGACCTACTTCTAATTTTTTCTAATTTTAGAAATTAAGCTCTGGGGTAAAACCAACCAAAACACTACAGTATTAAAAGACTTAGGAAGAAGCCTTAGACTGTTAACAACATAGTGATATAATCATTCGTTGGCAAACTTACGAAAATATAGCTTCGATTTGTGGTTTAATATTTATAAATGTTAAATGTTTATAATGTGAGTTTAAGTTAAACTTTAAGGAACATTGAAAAAGTATTATCTTTTAACTAAATCGGATATAAGGCTTATATTATTTGATACATTGCAAAAGCTGTATTCCTAATACTTATTCCCAACTTCTACATTAATGTGAACAACTTTTGACATTAGGTACACAAATATTATCGCAGAATCGGTTAACGTAATTAATCTGTCAAAAAGAGCTGATTCGATTTTTTTCTTCTTCTTTACTATTCTGTGCATATAATAAAACGTGATGGAAATGTGTTATATAATTAACAAGTCATAAAAAGTGTGTTCGGTTTTATAAAACTGGACAAGGAAAAGATAACTTGTGTCTTTTTCATATCTTTTCTGTTATCGCATTTGCATTTCACAGAAAAAATTAATTGCTGGTTTTTCCATTTTCGCCCTTCACTTGTGTCAGATCGCCAATCAGATAGCAGCTGCGGGCTAATGATTTAGGTATGTTATTCGTCGTCAAGGGGTATGCAATATTATTTTGCATAATATGGTTACAAATACTGAGTGGAACACACACTTTTTTGTTAATTTTTATTGTGTGACTGGAAAAGTATAATTTATCCATTTTTAGCCCAAAGGGCCGATTGCCCAGAAAGGCTCAAAACGGCATTTTGCGTCGAATCACCAAAATCGTTGAATTACTTTTCAAATTGTTGCTACCAAATATTATCGCCTACATTATACTTAAAAAAACTAAATAATGAAGAATCTGCATGAATGCATGCATGTTTCTTGCATTGTGAAAAACCAGTGGTACGCAGGGTTATCAAGTTTTGAATAACATAGTCTTCCACCCAAACAAGGGCACTTTGGAACTGAAATTTGGAATTTGCTTAATTATCTATTTCATATTTTATAAAACTTTGCGAGTAGTGGCAACACACTTTGTATGGAATAAAGTATTTTCATCTGCAACGCGCGAGACTGTCTATCGGGAATTCTAACGATATGCTGTTTTTAAATATTTTTAGCCCAAATGCTTTCGAAATGTGTATGTGCGTTAAAGAAAAAAAGCCTCTTTGGGCCTAATATAAAATGTGAAATTTTCAGATTTTTTCTCATTTATTACTTTTATTGTGAACATCTGAAAATGCTTTCTGTGTACTGAAAGTTCTGTTGGTATGTGTTTCCAGTGATGCTTTTTACATCATTGTTTTTTATTCATAATTCTGTCTCAAAGTGCAATTATAAATTGAGAGTTAGATTGTCATAGAGCAATATTATTACGAGCCATGAATTGGATATTTGTTTAAAAGGTTTAATATTTTGGGGTGAAAATTAATCTCGAAGAGAGTTTTTTTCCTATATTTTTGTTTTTTGTAACGCAGTTTGCTTTTCATTAAATTGATGATAATTCAGAATCTTGATAATATTTGTATATAATAAAGCATGTATTTTAAATTAAACGGTTGTATCTTTTCAAGAAATTATAATTGTTGTTTGTCAATCTAAGCCAGAAATTCCTAGTCCTTTTCTTGCATCGGCCCCCTTTTAAAGAAATTATTTTCTTCATCGACCTCTCTTACTATAAATACTGACACGATAGAAACTTTATTTTAGGATATGTCTTACTTTTAAATTAAAAACTTAATGTCCTCGTAATCACTGGGAAACCCATTTATTCAAGAGTTAGTCATATATGGAGCCTCGTGTAAGCAAGCAACAAGAACCTCTGCTTTAATGCGAAGAATTATATTAAATGTGTGTATTCAGGTCACTTTGGCAGATCAGTAAATTGTAATTGCCTATCAGTTGTTTTAACTTGAAAATGCTTAAGTGTTCAGTAACATAGTTGTTGCCTCTCAGTTGTTTTAACTTACAATGCTTTAAGTGATCAATAATATGCATTGGTTTAATTATGTATTTTAAAGCTTTTGATAATAATTTTAAAGCTTCAAATATTTGTTTTGTGAAATCTAAGAGTTAATTTGAAGCGTCCTATCTGTTTGGATACTTTTTGATTGAATTCTTGAATGCAGCGTTTCTTAGACTGTGGGGTCGTGAAAGCTGCAGCAGGCGATCGCCAAAAAATTAAGCAGTTTTGATATTTCTTTATCTTATTATAATAATTTAACAATAACCAATTATTTTTACAGAATGTATCTGAAAATAGATAAAGATCCGACAATACAGACAAAGAAAAAAACGAAAACGTTTCGACGCAATTCTTTTTATAAAATAAGCGTTCATTTTACTTGCTTTGCACGTGATGCTCTCATTTCGTCCGTTACTTATTTAATATTTTCACATTGTTCTATGTCTTGAAATTAGAAATTAAAGTTAATGACCTGAAACTGCAATAGTATATTACAGTACAAGTGAAAACATTGACAGTTTCACACACACGTTTGTCGGATTTGAGCAATGCTTATGGGGTTCCACAGGTATCTGTTTTGCATAAAGTCCTTAAAAATATATGTGTGTGTCATCTGAGAAATATTTGGAAGCATTATTATTTGGAAGCATGTATTAAAAAACGATCTTCTCTGAAATTTTGGAAAGTGCTTAAAAAACAAAGATCGACGAGATTGAAAATTCTTGAATTAATTCTTCGCGTGTAAAGCATTTTATGAATATAATTTTACGTGAATATAAATTAATTTTATGAAAATAATTAAATAATTCATATAAAACATTAAAAAATGTGTTGGTAATTTAAAAAAAAAACTGATTCGTTTCAAAGCAGCAGTACTTGTTTTGAAAAGGCACACTAAAAGACAAAATTAGCAATATATCTTATTTTTAGCCAAAAGGAGAGAAGTTGATGAAAGCAAATACAATTTCTTATATCACTGGTACGACATAAAAGAATTATTAATTTTTAATTAAATTTGTTATTTTTAATACTTTGATGTTATTAGTAGAATATTTACCTCTCGTATCACACAGTTTACACATCATGCTCTTATCATTATTTTTGTAAAGATCTGATAATGTTATGAATAAATATATGTGAAAGTGCAACACAGTATAATTAATAAATTATGTTTTTAATGTCATATATTTATATTTTGGTTGCAAAAAGTTTGTCTAATTTTTATACACGTACAACATCGTTTGCGTTTAAAAACAACTAGCGATAATAATGAAGTTCAGAAGCACCACGCAGATTGCATTCTTTTTTTGAGCTTTTTCTTTTCTAAATATTGTTTAAGCTGGCAACACTCAGTTTTATTAAAAGGAAAGAATGTAGATGTATTCAAAATTTCAAGAGCTGAATATTTATTCTTTGCGAAGAATTCGAATCTACACAGTTCCTGTTTAGTTCATACATCAAACAAGTAAATATACAAATTATTGAAGATAATTTAATTTTTAATATACCGTCATACTTCATCTTTAAAATTTACAGGTTATGACATCTTGCAGGTATTAAGTACCATTTAGAATGAAATTGCAATTCATTAAGTTTGAAATGTCGATTCTTGTAAGTGCTGTGAATAGAAATTTAAAAATTCAACGATTATTATTTTAATAACATATTTGTAAATAATTATATGGATAAAGTGAATTGAAAAAGGTGGAAACATAATTGTTATCTTATAGAATTGTAGGCTTTTGTTACCGGTTTACCCTGTATAGCCATACACACAAAATTTTCGAGGAAAAAACATCTTTGAGTTTAGGTTAAAATTTTTCTATTGTTTTAATTTTTGCCACTGTTTGTTAAGCTTGATAATTGTTTTATTTTTTTATTATATGGATATAGTATTTACAACTGTTTCTCTGTTGAGAACATCTGTTTAAAACGTTTTGTGTGTGTGCTTCTTCTGATGGTTGGTTATTTTTTATTATCATTGGAGACATTATTATTTTAGAAAAGCAATTTTTTTATTGTAAACAATACTGTTTGCGTTCTATAATTTAAGAGTGTTACTGTAAAATAAAATTATTCATTTTGTGAAATTTATTTGTCTTTATTTTGATAGGTACTGAACTTGGCTGTTGAAGTGTTATTTTTAACCAAATTATACTGCGCTTAAGGGAGAGAAGGATTTGAAGAGCTCAAGGATTTGAATTCTTTAAATCCATATTCAGCTTCTCGCAGTCTTTTATGGTAAGTAAATATTTTTTTACAATACATTATCTCCTCGAGCAAAATTAGTATTCTGCAACAAGCCATCAAGAGCCGGAAAATTTTCTGTATTGGCAGGTTTACATAATTGCAAGTGATGTATAATACATTTGGTATATTTTTAAAATTCAATAAAATATAAATTCTTTTTACTTCCTTGTACGAGCTAAAAGGAATTGTTGTAATCGCGAAAAACTTCAGGTATCATATTTCAACGAAAATATCCATTTTGACCGCTATCCAGTGCGATTTAATGATGTTTATGTGTGGCATCCGCAAGTAAGGACAGAATAAAGGACTCTTTTACACCAAAAAAATTATAAAACTGATTTAAAATGAATGTACGCATCTCGCATAACTCAAAAAACGAGTAGCCTCAGACGTTGAAATTTTGCATGTACGACTGCTATAACATGTAGATGTGCACCTGGTATTTTGGTTGCAATCGGCCGCACTAAAAGTATATATATATATATATTCAATGTGTTACTCGGCTCAGTGAGCTCCATTTCTTTATTCTTATATGTTTGTAAATTCTGCATTTTTTCTTTAAAAATGATTGAATTATGTTGTTCTTGTCTTCCGGTTAAGGGTTTTGTGCCTTTAGTAAATCTGCATGCACCATTTGTGGATTTATCAACAATTTCAAAGTTGTTTAAGTGCAGCTAAGCCTAATGAATTTTGCGATGTCGGACATGTTTCTTTACATTTTAAACTTGGCAAAATAGCAGATTTGTTGCCAATCTAGATAAACTAAGCTTCGCAACAACAAAGATAACGCCATCTGCGAATGAAATCATGCTTAATTTAATCCATTCTGGAATTTATGCGAGGAAATAAGTGTTTCAGATTTGCTTCGTAATTTTTAATAATAGATATTTAGAGTTTGTATGTAATTTTGCCTTGTCGGGAAGTGAGAACTGAATAAATTGAATGAGAAATACTGAATCGTCTGTGAAAAACTTTTTTGTTTTATACATCGTTTTAGATTTGTTATGGTATTTGAATAGAACATGTAGCAACGATTAGATAATTCTTCAAATGATATAAATTTATATGCATTCTGACTTATAATATGGACGAAATGTAACGCTGTTAAGAAAATCCAGCGCCAGAGTGTCGCTATGGTAAACAAGTATAGTGAATTTTAAAGAGTGCATTTATTCTATTGTGGTTAATGCGCTATTGACGATATAGATTTAATTCAATCCAATGAGTTTAAATGAAATGCAAGAAAAAATGCGTATAATTTAATATTCCGTGCAAGGAAATCATGTGGTGTGCACATCAGATTTTTTTATATAAAAAATTCAGAAAAATTTATTGTAGCATATGAGAAAAATCTTATATTAATTTGTTATAAATTCTTTAAAGGACCGGCCTGAATAACCTTTTTTATGACGAGAAGGAAAGCTTAGTTGGATTATTTGAGTGAATTTCGTTTATTCTGTGACGTACGTTGCACGTTTTATTAGCACGTCATGTTTGGGGGTATAAATCCAGTGTTCTTTAATTGGGTGTTCAATTATCCAGTGATATAATGTGATATTTAATAAAAAATTAGTGCGTAATAAGTGTTATTAATTGAGTGAGTGAATTAGTGTGTAAGTTAAATATATTAGTGTGTAACCATTTAAGTTAGATAATTTTTCTCATGTTTCATTTAAGTAGGAATTCCTCCCCCCAGAAAGGCCACACGTAGGCGTCCTTCATTATTTCCTTCACTATATAGAGAGATTTAGGACTGCCTTACTATATAGAGAGATTTAGGACTGCCTCACTATATAGAGAGATTTAGGACTGCCTCACTATATAGAGAGATTTAGGACTCTTTACACACGTGTGTTCTAGAAGTTGCTGTTAAAAACCATCAAACACGTTTTGTGAACGGAATTAATGCGTCCTCATGTTGTGAGATATGTATCTTAGACAGAAATTATAAAACTTGATTTTTGTGTGTTGATTTTTGTCCGAAGTCAAAACCTTATTATTATGCTACTTCTAACTATAAAATATTTTACTGTCGGGTTATTAGAAATCGAAGCGAATTTTGTACTTTCGGTTGAAGCCTTCTTTCTTATAATTTGAGTGAATTAATGTTTAAATTTGAATGAAGATTTGGTATTGTCGTAACTGGCAATCTACCGAGTTTTGTTACTTAGTTATGAGTTTTGTAACAGATATCGCCACCTCTTTTCTCATTCATTTCATCACAATTTGTGCCGTCAGCCAGTGAGACAGCGAAATAATTACTATATGCGCAAAATTCTTGATATACGCATAACATTTAGAGGACATAACTTTCAGTTATATATTAATATCGAATAATTCATTGAAATACTTGAATTGCTAATCTGATAAAAAGTATTTCACCCTTTTATTCGCACACTGAAAGGTTTCTTATACGAACCAAGAAACAGCAAAAGAAATAAATATTTTGCAAACAATTATTAGTATTAAATAATAATAAATCTGGTAATATAAATTTAGAGATAGTTCTGAATTTTAATTAGCTGACGGCACACCGAATTTGATTGAGTTAATGTTTATATTAGGAATGAAGATTTTATATTTCACAATGTGCCCAGTAGTAAGAAGTAAGTAAAGAATTAAGTAAGGAAGGATAATAATTCATTGAAAATGACCTCCGTTATTAACAACAAGGACAAGTAACTTATACATTACTTTAATAATTTATGTTTGACGATGTTTAGATCAATACGGAAACAAGCGTGTCAGATTCTATCTGAAAAGTACTGAAGACTAGAAATCTTTCAGGTTTTTAATTAAGCTATTTTATGGAATTTCAAGAGATAAAAATCAAATTATACAAAAAGTACTTTTAATAATAATATTTCGATAATGAATTGGAAGTAATATCGGAATATTTGCGATTACAAGAAATTTTATTAAAATCATTTGTGGAGAATTTACCCTTTTTACTTCCTTGTACGAAGTAAAAAGGAAGTATTGTAACCGCGAAAAGTTTCAGGCAGCATATTTCAACGAAAATATCCATTTTGACGGCTATCGAATGCAATTTAACGGTGTTTTTGCGTGATATCTGTACGTAAGGACAGAATAAAATACTCTTAAAAAAATTATAAAACTTCTTTAAAAGTAATTCTGAAGATAATTTTTCGTGGCGTCTGTACGAACGTATGTACGTACGTACGTATCTCGCATAACTCAAAAAAGAGTAGCCGCAGAACGTTGAAATTTTGTATATAGGACTGCTATAAATGTAGATGTGCACATCGTATTTTGGTTGCAATCGGGCACCAAACGTATATAAATATATTTATCACTCTGTTACCCGGCTCAGTGATCTCAGTTTCTTTACTCTTATGTTTGTAAATTGTACATTTTTTGCTTTAAAATGATTGTATTATAATGTTTTTATCTTCCGGTTAAGGTTTTTATGCCTTAGTCCATCTGTATGCATATTTTAGAATTATCACATTTTTTAAAGTTGTCTAAGTGCGCTAAGAGCCTTTTTTTTTATGGCGACCATTGATGTTACATTTGAAACAGGAGACTAGTGGATTTGTTGCCAATCTAGAAAAACTTAGCTTCGCCCACAACAAAGATAACGCATTCATTTATTATTGCCAATTAATCATGCTTAATTCTTTCTGGAATTTTTTCGAGGAAATAAGTGTTTTGTTTAAGATTTACTTCGTATTTTTAATATAGATATTTTGAGTTTTTATGTATTTTCCTTCTCGCGAAGTGAGAAACTGAGTTAATTAAATGAGAAATACTCAATCGTCTGTGAAAAACTGTTTCTTTTTGTTTGTTTGCTTATATCTTTTTCATCATTCTAGCTTTATTTAGTTTGAAGAGAACATGTGGCACCGATTAGATTCTATTCTTTAAATGATATAAATTTTGTGGCATTAAATAGTTATAATATGAACGAAATATATAAGTTAACTGTTATATAATTAGTGGATTATAAAACAGTTAACTTAGTTTCCGTTATATAATTATTATATAAGTTAACTGTTATATAATTATTATACTGTTAAGTGAATCTAGCGCCAGAGTGTCGCTATGGTAAACAAATACTTGAGTGAATTTTAAAGATGGATTTATTCTATTGTGGTTTATGCGCTGTCGCGAAGTAGATTAGAGTAATTCAATCCCAATAAGTTTAAATGAAATGCAAGAAAAAATGCGTATAATTTAATATTCCGTTCAAGGAAGTCATGTGGTGCACACATTAGATTTTTTATTTATAATTTGGTTATAGAAAACTGCTCTTGATTTTAACCTTGCTATTGATTGTAATAAATTCTGGATGAGAAATTAATTTTTGGTTTAATTTATTATCATATGGTAATCAATTAGTCTGTAGATTCTTGGTCGTTGCATATATTATATTTAATTAAAATACTAATGCAAGGTCTGTTGAAAGAATGAAAAGCAGTACTATAAAGGCATATCGTATTTGAAGTACCAAAAATAATCAGTGAAATAAGCTCGCGATCATAGGTTTCATAATCGAGAAATGTTTGGGAAATTAGGTGAGAAAACGTGATTAAAACATTTTTAGAATTCATGTAAAAGTAGTTATGAGCTTGAGTTTTTCTTATAGTTAAAAGTAATATTTAAGTTTCTTTACCGAAATATTTCTTCTGAATGAAGTGGCTACGATTCTGTTCATTAATAAAACATGTCTGATGCTATTAAATATTTTCAGACTAATTTGCATTTGATCGCGTAAATATCAACGCTTTTTGCGTTTTTAATGTAACAAGCATTTATATTCTTTCTTTTTTTTATGGTTACGCTACGCTAGCTTGGCACTTGTTCTTCCCCCTGCAGATAGATATTTTATTTTGTCTGCCTCGATGTTTGCTCAGTTTTTAAATATGTTATCGTTCAACATTCCATAAGATTTTAAATTTAACTTTCCAACTAAAAGAGTATCTTGCTTTAACTTGCTGAAAATTTGAATTAATTTTTGTATATTTCTT